ACTTCGCGTAGCTGGATGGAGGCGGCTGGCTCCAAAATGGCGGCGCACAGAAAACTATGCTGAATTTGGTGGAAGCTGGCAACAGCGTGCCCCGTTGCCCGCTGGTTTTGGCTGAGTTTCTTGAAGACACTTATTAAGATGTCTCCACCCTAAAAACGGCCGTTCATGTAGGCTCCCTACTCACGAGCCCTTCGCAGCGCCGCCTTGTCTTCCAACGTCGGCGAAACCACCGCGGTACCGTCACCTCCAATGACGGGTGCAGTGCTGGCATTCGGTTGTACTGCATTCGTTGTTGATGGTAGCGTTGCCTCCGGGACATCCATCGCACGACCCGCTCTCGGCGGGAGACTGAGAGAGAAGGCGGGCGCGCGAGAGAGAGGGGTGCGCGCGCAGCTGCAGCGAGCGAGGAGAGCGGAGGAGCGAGCGAAGGGGGAGGGGGTATAAGGCGCGTTACTGACACCGATATCAGCGTCGCGTCCGTGGCTTATTCGGTAGAGCGTCGCGCTGCGGCCCGCCAAGTCCTCTTTCTTTTAAAGATAGAGAGAAGACTGCGGACGCTGCCGACGGCGGTGGATGGTTTGGGGTCGCTTATAAAGTGTATTCACACTTAAAACACGTCCAGCGAACAGCTCGTCCAGACCTTGCAGTCGAGCATCCAGACCAAGCAGTCCAGACCTTGCGAGAGTTTAAGAGACGCAGCGAGCGTTGCCACTTTATCAAGCACTCTCCTCGCACAGAGTGACGTACTGGCGGCGCGCGCTGCTGTTTTGACGTCGAAAAACACATAGAATGCTATTGGCCAATGACTGGCGTAAAATTAAGAACTGCGGATGGATCAGGTACGCTCGTTGGCACGGGGTGCCACCAGGTGCGGGTGCCACGCTGCTTAGGTGCTGGCATTGCACAGTGCGCCACACTCGCGCACAGGAATTGGAACGGAAAACGAGCGGTCCCAGAACAGGAGCGGTCTCGTTTCACGACAGGCGCTCAAGGTCAGGGGGCGCACTGGCGTACGTTCTTGACCTCCGTGTCATCACTCCCTGTTAGCTTCGGCGCACTGGTCGGCACGAGAGAGTCCTGACGCGTGCGCTGGAAGTTAAAGGCCTGACCACATGTACGCGTTGCAGCGCGTGGCGTTCCGACGCGGCACTGCACCATATCCCCATGAAGAGAAAGGGCGCACAACTTCGCCTCTCTCTTCAACGGGAGAGGGCGTGGCGCCGCATTAGAAATGCGCGCGCTGACGCGCTAGAGCGCGTGTACTTGTAGTCACGCCTTTAAAGGGCCAGTCAACAGGTTCCGAAACGCACAAGATAAGCTCGCGCATTTTTCCTGCGCGTGACCAACCTCCTTCAACGCGCAGTGACGTGAACTCAGTGATCAGCGACGTGAGGTAGCACGCAGCTCGTCGATTGGTCTAAACCAGATATCAATAAAGAGTGACTTAGTCAACGTCGCCGATCGCCGAGTTCACGTCACTGCGTGTGGAAGAAGGTTGGTCAGGCGTACGAAAGATGCGCGAGCTTTTCCTGCACCTTCCGTAGCCTGTTGACTGGCCATTTAACAAGAAGCAATGACACGGGGGAAATTATTTACGCTCAAAGGAATCGAGAAATCCCCGCAACTCCGCTCGTTCTTCAGATTCCAAAAATTTCGCCTAGAATCTATTTGTGAAGCAATAAAAGCCTGTACCAAGGTGTGCAAGTCATTACTTAAAAAAATTATTTCAGGTTCACTTCAAACGTTTACAATCACGTTTAGGTTCTCCGCCTTTTCGTCAATATTTGGCTGCCGACATCCCTAAGCAAGAAACGAAGTGCCGAAAGTCGAATATACAATTGATTTTGTTCGTGTTATTGAATAAATTGAAAATTGTCACTTCCGAAAACTCTCTAACTTGGGCTGCGGAAACGAAATGCACGATTTCTTAAAATTGATCGATTAATCACACATCGACGAGATGTGTCACGTCTCTGAGAGCGAGTTCTTGAAAATTTTTGTCCTTTCTCATTTTACGTATGCCCTGCGGTTGTTCAGAACCTCGCATTTTCCGAAACACCTGCTGTACATGTCGCAGCCTTTCTGCGAATGCAAGCGTCACCGACGCGTTACAAACAATGCGCCTTCGGCGATTACTTATACACACAGGTGGAACGGGTGGATCTGTCATATAACAGCGCGTCGCACATGCAGCGTATACAGCCTTTGTAGTTCAAAACGTTCGCAAGAGGAAACGCAGCTTTGAAGGCTCGAACAGCCAGACATGGAGCAAGACAGCATCGAGTCGGCATGCATGAAAACGGCAGTAGAACAATAAAAAACGTCAGCTAAAACAAAAACAAAACAAGAACCTCACAGGATCTTTCATATACATTAGCGGAAGGCGAACGACATCACGAGCGGTTAATTTTCTGTGCAGGTTATACTAACGTCCAAATTCACAAATTACTTATCATCTGCCCCTTACGTTACTTCTACTTTCACTCATTATAGCGGTACTTAATTTGCTTTCAAAGGCCTACAGCATTTTCGCCTCCATCAAAAATGCGACCGCCGCAGCCAGGATTCGATCCCGCGACCTAATTACTCCTAATTCTGAGCTCGCTCATTCCGATGCACTCTCCTGGCCGCGCTGGGTGTTCACTTATGGCAATTTCCACTGGTAGCTAGATCTAGAGCGGCCACCGAAATCCAGGAGCGAGCAGCTCGCATTGCGCCAAGCCAGATCTGCGAGTGGAACACGTGAATGCCCCACCTGAAGTCGCGGCGGAAGTTGTTTGCGCATACGATCCCTAAACCAGTACTAGAAACTTCCTCGACATAGGCGATTATCTTCGGCTTAGTGGCGGATCCAGAGGGAGGGCTGTAGGGGCGATCCCCCCCCCCCCCCCCCAAAGCCTGTCAGCACCCCCTCCCCTTCTCTTCAGTGCTTGCCACCCACCTGGTATCACCAGTCAGGACAAATAAGTGGGACCACTGTGAGCAGAACTAGTGCTCTCGATGTCACTCAAAGCGATAAGCAAACCAGCAGCAGCACGTCCAGCAGCATCAAACAATGTCATTTTAGAAATGTAAACAAGTGCACAGGGCAATGCCCCAAAAAGAAAAAAAGAGGAAAAAGAAAGCGCTCAAGGCAACATGGCTGTCCAACTGTACCGGAAATGACAATGCATTCTCGGAGTTCCGGAAATCCGCCTCTTCAAGACGGAGCGCGCGAAACGCTCCGTCACAGAGTGTGTTGCTCGTAAACTGCCAGCGGAACACACGAACTTGCTCCGAATCTATCAGCGGAACGCAGATTCTCGACCGCTGAGCAAGAAGAAAACTTGCTCCCGCTCGACGATCGAGCGGAATTCGCCATTAGGCGCACACGTACGGTAATACACAAATTGGGGGGGGGGGGATAACATAAACGGTACACAACATATACTAAACACACAAAAATAAAAGATACATGGGAACATACAAATCGAAGCACAAGTGAACACCAGCAACGCTTCGCAACCCCACGTGGTTCTCTTTATTGGAGATCGTGAAATTTTTTTTTCTTGAGACGTGCATTTGAGACTTGCGGAGAAAAAACACACGAAAGTGAAACGTGTCTTCACAGAGGTAGTTGAGCGTTTATTGTGCATTGTTTCAGCAACAACAGCAAACTGCAATGTCACTCCAAGAACGGCACGCAGCTCGAAACTTGCAGCGCACACCTCAAGCAGAAAGCACGCACGAAATTAGCATACACAGGACGAGCGTGGACTTGAACTGTCACAGCTTGACACTTGAAGCGTGCTGTTCAAACCGAAAAAAAGACACTCGAAACGAGCGCACAACAACAGGGCAAGCACGAACAACTGTCACGATTCATTCTTCGTCGTGTATTAGCAGCGCGCTCCTTTCGTAAACGCGGCCACGGCAGCGAGCGAAGTGACCATCATCTCACGAATTAAGACTCTGATTGGCACGCGTGCACGAGAGACCATGCCCTGTGGATGCAAAGACCTTCAGAGCATGCCAAACGCGAGCCCGTCGCGCCGTCTCGGTATTGATAACAAAAAAAAAAAAAAACGCGCTAAAGTTTCCGAGCTCCGAGGATCACTTACTCGTGTATGATGTAAATTAAATAGAATGCCGTTAGCACCCTCTGCAACGTTCGTTCTGTGGCGTAGTGGTCAGGGTCACGCGCTACGAGTGGAAAGGTTGCTGGTTCGACGCCGCGCTATAAATTATTTCCAGTTCGTTTTTTTTTCTTTTTACAAATCTGTTATATTTTACGTCATATCGGTGATGGAAATACTTCAGCGGAGCCATGGTGGAACCCAGCATAAAACTCGTATATGAAACGCCATATCTTCCAAAGCCTCACTAGTTTTGCTCCCAAGTGGAGCGATGAGAAAACTGGGGGGGCAAGCGTCTTCAATTTTTATTCTCAGACTATGTTGGCAGACTGAGCAGCCTTGTTGGGTTCCAAGTTTAGAGATTATAGTTTTTTTTTTCTTGGCACTTAAAACTGCCGACGGAGCTTCTTTGCAGCTGTTTTTGCCCATCTGCAACTGAATCTATGCAGGCGAATAAATCAGCGAAAAAATTGCCCACAGTTCGACAGTCTTTCTTGAAGAGCGCGAAGGGCTCGCATTGTTTCCATAGGTGTTGAAAATGGATTGAAAAATGCACTCTTCGTTTTTACTGATTAAATATGATGGTGAGTCACCGAACATGTACTGTGGTATGTGTTCAGCTTCTCAACTTTCGTCGGAAACTGTGCCCGAGTATCATGAAGCCTATGTAGACTCAAGTGTTGAGGTAGTGGCTCATTATAAGTGGTTTAGCATTGGTTGGCATGAAGTAAACAATCTTACAGGTAGGCACAGTTTTTCCTTACACCATATGTGAGAACATAACATGGCAGCAATATATAACAGTGCCATAGTGTGCTAATAGCACTGCCTAGTGCTCGTAGAGAAGTATATTCACACAGTAGTGAATAAAATACACACGCTATAACAAGGTATTATTGAGTCAATTTATTTCATCCTTTACATGTACAGCTGCTCGTAATGGACAGTAAGGGAAGATCGCGGACCGCTGATCGAGAAGGCACCTTTTGTATACGAGATGGGGGAGGGTTATAGTCACTGCGTTAAATATACACATTATGTACATGTGGGGAAAAAATGGAAGGTGGTCAAGAATACAGCCTCGGTTATTTATATATTCACTTCGTCATGCACTATGCAGTTTTACATGAATGCTGCTAGTGAACTGCAAGTCAACAATGCTTACTTTTAAAAATATCATACGTTTTTAAGATACCTTTCTGTCTACCAACGAGAACGTACACAGAGCCTGTAGCCAGAAATTTTTTCAGAGGGGGAGGAGAACCTGTTAAAGACTGCTTGAAAAACCCATCAACTTTTCCACGACATTCGTTCCTCAAGAAGGAAATTATTGCGTGTAGTGAATCGAAATTTGATGCTTGCGCGCGTGTGCTTAAATGTGACGAGCATGGCAGTTTCATTATTTCTTCTCGGTAAAACCACCTTTAAACTGCAGTTTTGAAGAGGTCCAGGATCTCTGCCCCCCCCCCCCCCCCTTGACTACTGGCCTAACGTACATCCAAGCGTCACAAAAATCACCGCACCACTTCACTATCAAACGACCAACACACAGTTTCTACAGTGCCATCGATTCCATGGTCACATGATAATTCCCACGTGCGCAAACAAGAAAGGAAAACAACAAAGTGAGTCGTTTTGCTCGGAGTTCATCCGTCGGTTTTCACCATGCCCACAAATGCGGTGCACTGTGGGGAAACCAAAAAACAAGGACACAAACAGTTGCAGCAAGTATTGGTAGATGTAGCCACTGTATCTCTCCGTTGCGCCACCTGGGTGCATGTACCAAAACTAAGCAATAGTGCACACGCTCACGCACACAAACACACAACTCCAGCGCCAGCAGTACAACTGCACAGACGATTTACGATGCACTGAAGCGATGTCAAGAAAGAGCTTTTATTCCTTCATGTGTCACCACGACCACTAGCACCCTTCCTGTTACCAACGCCATCTAGCATCAGTTTCCACAGACATGACACTCGCCGGAGACAGAAGATTTGCACATCTCGCTCGCCGTTTGGGAAATAAGGCGAGCATGTGTTTAATTTAAAGTTAAAAAAACAGCGTCCATCGACAGAAGTGTTAGATTTGAGCACAGTATGCTAATTTGCTTCAAGTTGGCGTCACCCTCGTACCCTTATCATGTAAAAATTGGAAGGTGGCGTTGGGGAATGGGGAACGTCCATGGTTGGCCTAACATCACTGTACCGCTCTGTTAATAACTGCAAGTTATGCACACAATGGGCAATAAATTACCCGTAGATCAGAGGTACAAAGAGTTAAATATAATTTAATGGTGGAGCTCGCACATCACGAAATACTTGGTATACGTCAAAATAAAAAGATGCCTTTAAAAGGGCCAGCACTGACACGTGCGACACTCGTCAAACTAGAGCCCTCCTTTTTACACGAGGGGAAACAAGTGCACGTTCGTAGGCAATAGTCCTGTAGTGCGCATAAAATGTACAAGCACAAACCCCGGTGTGCACGATTAGTGCATGGAAGACTCTGACGATGCTTGAGACAAGATGCCATCACAGTGGGAACAGGGATTGGAGGTTTAGAACTCAACCACGAAACTTTCTCGAGGTTAAAAAGGATCTCGCTGTACTAACAAGAACAAAAATTGCATAAAGTAATAACTAAGTGAAGGAGGAACATATATCTACTAAGTCAGTAGCAAAACAAAAAGTCGATACCAACACTACAAGACCTCGAGGTCATCACGTCACATACCGCTGACATAAGGTAGTGAGAGGACACTACGTAAAACATCACAATCTACATTTGATCCCAGCCCATGGAATGAGAACTGTAGCACCCGCAACTTGTGGACACCGTGTCCATTTCCTTCTTCATTGTGAAACGATTCGCGTGCCTAGGCAAACTTTGCATGGATATTAGCAAGGCGCACACACGCAGTCCTGGCACTGTCCGTTGCGAATGCCTCATAAAAGGCAGTTGTGTCGATTCACTGGTCAACGTAAAAAGAAAAAAAAAAAAGAATGTCCATCCACGTGCTAATGCGCATGGTTGGTCATTCGAAACAAAAACAAGCTAGTATTACTTCATCAAGTGGGCAGATCAAAACGATTCTTGCACGCACTTCAAACAGGGACTGCGGAGAGATATTCACCCCTGTATTGCGAATTGAGAGTATAATATCACGTCTTCCCGTAGGGTCCTAGAAAGTCAAAATTCGTCCCAAGGAAGGCAGCACACGGGCTTGCAGAATCTGTAAGAAAGAGGTAGGCAGGAAGTCAAAATGGAAATTAGGGTCTGGCATTCCTCCTCAAAATGGTGTGTAATTGACTTTGATCCAATTTATAATCAAGTAATGACAGCTGAGAAAAATACAAAGACAACACATTAGTGTGTCTACAGGCCAATTCACGTAATCATTTACACACCTCTACAAAGCAGCCACATAAGGAACACTTCATTTGAATATCTGAAATAGAAAACATGCACAGTTTTCAGTTTGCCTGATGTGCATATCTGTCACACATAACTGTATCACCCGACTGAATCCAAATAGTTGAAACACGATATCTGAATATCAAAAGTATTAGATTTGTACTGTTTATGCACTCTGTACTAACTGTGCCCTTCATGACACAAAATTTTGCATACGCATGTTCCGATGTATTTCCAACCACACCACCAGATCAAATTTTCAATGGACCTCGCAAACAGGCCATGGCACTGTTTTCCAATGTCACTGTTGCAACAGATATGATTGGTTTTCAAGCACTGGTAGTAGAAAACGTGCATGGTCACTTCTGTAAAGGTATCTGGTAACATATAAATCAACTGAAGACAAGCAATAAGAATGGCCACCACAACCTTCTGTGTACAGACCCAAAATGCAGAGTTTTAAGCCTCGATTAGTTGGCAGTGAAGTTGACAAGACGTATTGCGGTGGGGGAGTGGTAGGCAAAATTTCATTGTCCGCAGCCTTGTTGATACTACAGTTAAATACAACCTAAGGAGTCCGGAATAGCCAAACCAAACCAAACCAAACTGACTGCCGAACTGCCAAACCGGCCAAATGGCAGTAGCCGGTCGTCTCCAAGACCAAAGTAGTAGTCCCACTAATAGGTTGCCTGCCATCTCACTCATGATGTCAGCCTTGAGTACACGCCAAATGCTGCAAGCTTGTGTAAAGCCTGCCTTTGCAAAGAAAGTCCTGCGGACTTCTGAAGTTGATTCTGACTATGGGTGGTTTGGTGAAATTACGGGATGAATGACTCACCTCAGAAGCCATGGAAGTGCCTAGGCTAGGTTTCCAAAGATCTTGAAAATAATTTCAGAGAAACTCTACGACACATGCAGTCAAACCTCAACATAACGAAAACATAAATAAGGAATGATTGGCTTAAATGAACAGAGCACATAATAGACTTCCTTTTGATACCATGCCATGAGTGCACATGTATAATGAATTTTTGGACGATGGAACTTCGTTTTTCTCAAGATTTCACTGCGCCCTGTTTCGCATCGCATGTTGAAAGATAAGGTAGTTTTCTTCGAAGACCCACCCTCGTCTTGACCTGCTCGCCGTCCACGGTGATGGTGCTGTCCGAGAAGGTCTCGAGGCGAAACGCGCGTACTGGTATGAGGCGGACGAAGGGCAGGTCTACGTGGTGGCCGGCCTCCTGCGCCTTGAAATAGCTGAGCACCTGGAAGCGGGACACCTCGCCACGGATGATGAGCAGCCAGGCGATGCCGTCGTCCAGCCGAGACTCGGGCGCGATGAACAAGTTGGTGCCCAAGTGGCTGACCATGCTGGAGTAGCAGATGATGAAGCGGCCCTCCTCCACCGTCCAGTCATCTGGCACCGGGTCCGTCAGCGCGGGGAACCACTCGGGCGTCGACATTGTGGGCTCCTGTATCATTCCACGTAGAGAGGTCATTGCTCCACGTCCCGGGCACAGGTCTACGTTTGAGTGATCGTTAAAAGTCCTAAAAAGGCATTTCATCCTTGGCACGAAGCATGGTTCGTCGTATTATTGCACCAAAGCTGTATATGGCACACCTGCACTGCCCGTCTACGAATGAGAAAAAAAAAGACCTCACGCGATTGCGTCACTAATTGACGCTGTTGTGACATCACAGATCGCCAAAGTTTGGTACGTCGTGATTACAACTTCACCAGACTGCCCAAGGAAAGAAAAACATGTGACCTCACCTAAATGAGTGATGGTGCAATGTATTGATATGACGATGCCACAGTACCGAAATTCGTGATGTCGCGATTATGTCAACAATAGACCACCCTATACTGATTGTTGTCCTAGTTGGTACTTGCTTACTGATATGATTTGGCTGCAAATAATACACACACAAAGTAAAGAAACACTCAACGACCTCAACGCCGCTTGCGCTTGTCGTTGAGTGTTTCTTTACTTTGTGTGTGTATTATTTGTGGCCAAATCATGTCAGTAAAAAGACCACCCGCTCCCAAGCGGCAGAAAACCCACGTGACCTCACCTGAATGAGCGATGTCATGTTGGTAGACACGTCGATCATACTAAGTCAGGCCAATCATGAAGGCCACAAAACTGCTGCACTGATCCTGCAGCTGCGGAGAAAACTTAACGGCGCCCTGTCACTTTTTCAGCATGGCCAGAAAACACCACCCATTGGTAATCAAAGCTCGCGAAAAACATGAACCAAACATTAGAATTGTAAATTACAGACTGCACAACCTCGACTTGCAATGAATCATCATTTGGCTAAAAATCCCTTCCTCATCTCTCGACAAATAACGCCATATTTCCAAACTACTGTGCCATATACCCAGAGTCCACAGCCGCTGGCCGATTTGAACATCGGGAACTGCATAGATACAGGCACTAATGAAACATGCCAAGACATGCCTGTGTGCATTAGCTCGCGATCCCTGCAAAAGTAAGCCACACTTTCTAAATAAGAAACAAATGAAAAGAAGGCGCTTAAGGTCATGATGTGCGCTGACGAAGAGACACATCATCTTGCCTCAGTGTCTTCACCCTCCTCGGTAGGTTTAAACGTTCTCGCTGGTAATAAATAAGAAAGGAAGTGCTGGAAGCCTGTGACAAATCCTTCTAACTCCACTCATATCGAATGAATTCTAAATGTTTTTGCGGCAGTTTATTGGTGAGGCAATAAGCTCTTTCAATGAAACCACTAGACCACTGCGGGGCCTCTTTAAGTGGGGCGGTAGCCTTTTGTGCACCTTTCGTCATGCCGGTCGCATCTAGGCACTGCGCTGACTCGGTCGTTCGTGGCACCTATGGGTCGACAACTTGCTCACGCCCCAAGAGCAGTGCACTCATTCAGAATGCCAATGAGGCCAGAGATGTGAATGCCCCCATCAGCTGAGCTGGCCCTTTACATTCACAGAGTAAAACTGCTCCAACTATCTTTTTTTGGTGGAAATAACATATAACTTCAAAAGTTCTTCTAGAGATATGGACTTGGAACATTTCCAGCACTTCCAGACATACGAACATGCCTGAAGATTTCTAAGAGAATGCCTGGAATCACTGTTTTGACTACGAGGACTGCTTTTCTTTATTTGTCAGGGGTTTGACAGAGGTAGGGGGGCATATTAAACAAATGATTATTAATGAAACTGGATAATGACGGTGATTATGCTAGATATGATGATGATGACTTTCAGTACAAGATACCCAGAAGGCGATTTGTTGATACACCAGTGTTTGAAAAAGGGTGTCGGCAGAACATTCTTCAAGCAAGGGGGGGGGGGGGGGGCATTTTCTTGATCTTAATAGGATGCTGAGCAGGCAAATTGTCATATTGCGCTCTGTATGCCATAAAAAAATATTATTTGGGGGGTGGAGTGTGGGAAAGGCCACATGTGCCACCTTCTGGCTATGCCACTGGTTCGAGCCATTGGTGATGTGATAAAGCGAAGTCCCACGCATGAAGGCCAAGTCCTGGCTGTCCAGTGTGCCATAATCGGGCCGGCAGACTATACCTGTCCATCCCATCGTGGCATTAGCCAGAGGTGCATTTTACTGCATATAGCTGAGCCAAATACATGCTTATTTACTCACTCACTTACTGTTGTAATCTCACTTTCTCTGATCAAGTGCAAAACGTGTGTGTTTTCAATGTGATGTCAAATTTCGCGGCGCTATGCGATCTTACTAGCCAATCACACATACTTCTTGCACTTAAAGAGCTTCCCTGTCCAACCGTTCTCACGCCATGAAACTGACTTTCTTTTTCAGTTCACCTCCAGTTATATGCGACTGCCAAAATCTGCACAATAGAGCAGGCCTCGCACTACCCTGACGTTTTCAAGTCCCTTCGTGCAAAAAACGAAAAGCTGCAAAGGAGGTATTGCCTGTGGCTCTGGCCCCGGCACACGGCCAACGCTGGAATCGGCGACGAGCTCCAGCTCGGGCGGCAGTTCCTCGCCTGTGACTGGAAGGGATGCCTGGTCTTCGCCAGCATTGGGGACCGCGTGTTCCGTAGCTTTCTCCATGGCGGCCTCGTTCTCTCCGCTGCGTGACGTCCCGTTACCGGCTGCGGGATGTCTCTCCGGAGCGCTCTCGGACCTAGAATGCGAAGTGCAAGAAAGGTAAAAAAAAGAACAAAGGAATCATGTGACTTTATGTATACACTCCAGTTAAACCTCAAGTCAGAACTTGTTCTTTCTGTATTGCAAAAAAAAAAGTCTTAGAGCTACACATAGCGTAGTCTAATGAAACGGAAAAGCTTAAGCTTCCGCTTTGCCGATTATTTTTGCTGGTTGAATAAAATAGGATTTGAGTGAAGAGGGATTAAACTAAGTGAAATGAAGTGGGTTGAATGAAGTGAGTTGAATGCAGTGGGTTGAATGAAGTGGGAAGAGTGGCGGGAGCAGTGGTGGGCAGAACGGTTAGTTGTGGGAGTAGTGGGAGGAGAAAGCCTGTCGCGGCTGTGTCCCTCAAGCCGGCGCTCCCGCGGTGCAAGCAGCGGCAAGCTTCTCGCATTTCCCTTCTTATCATTGAGGGTAGGTTAGATTTGCCCTCGGTGCATTGAACAGAGGGCAGGAAGGTGCGATAGGTCGGCAGTGGCAGCAGAGAGCGGGGATTGGTAGGTCCGTGTTTGCAGATGGCACCATATGTGCTGTTCCCTAGCAGTCAGGGATGGGCGTGAGGCAGGTGTATTTGCTTTCAAGCACGAGTGTTTGCAGTGAACTCGGCAAAGTTGTACGCACACTCCTTTGAGAACCTCCCCCTCCCCCCGCCCCAATAGGTCCGCTCGAGATTAATACTTATCCCACACACAAAGCACCCCTTCCTACAATGCTTTTATTCAGAAGCACAGTACCGCAAATGTGACTCAAGCAAGTTAGACTTTGAAGCCTGTTCTGTTGTCGCCAAAAGCCATGACTATAATGGGCGAGATTTGACAGGAAGGCCAAGAGAATAATTGAATCATGTTATTAGTGTGTTAGTGAGCATCAATTTTATTTTCACCAAAAGACCTTGAATGCGGCTGCGTATTAATGATCGTTCAAAGTAGGTAGGGTATATATATGTTGTGGTTCTCCCTGAATAAACCTTGTTGGAAGTGCGCTCAGTATGTGTGCGGGCGCGACTATCCCTTCGTCCATTCTCCTCGCCGCACCTTGTCATGTTTCCGTGAAAATACATGGAACCATGGTTCGGTGTAAAGAACACCACGGTCGAGGGATAACTTTACTCACCTGTTCAAAGTCCTTGTGTTGCCGTTCTGACCACAGAAATCACCGAGGTCGGCACCTGACGACCGGCTGCGCGGTGGCGGAGCGGTCGGGCCGTTGCGCGACGTCATGAGCCGCGAGATGACGCCGTTGCTGCCCTTCAACATCTTCTCGCTCGCCGGCAGGTACGAGATCCGGCCGCTGTACGTGCGCAGGTCTGCGAAGGACGTGCACAAAGGGGAACGATTAAAGAAATCCCGAACCATATACATCCAAGTAACCATTGAATGACCTCGGCAGAGCCATAAAGCTCGTCAAACGTGAAATTGACCGTCGATATTGCCAACATGAGTGACCCAAAACATAATCTCGTGATGACGTCAGGAATCAGAGAAACTACAGACATCATCAGGACATCACAAAAAAAATGATGATGTCACATAATGCCACATTGTTATGAGCCGTGACATCATGACATAGCCACGAAGAGGAAGGTGGAAGCTGGCGATGAGAAATTCATAATTAGGGAGTGCGGGGTGGGTGCTTAAACCTACGTTTTGACAAGTAGTAGACTTGTTTTTTTCAAGGCTGCAGCCTGAAAAAAGACAACTCAACCCTGTTGGACCGTCTGCTTCAGCACCACCGCCTCCTGTTTACGAATTTATATAGTCCCATCATGACTTTGCACAAGGTGACGTCATGTGATGAACTCATAACAAGACATTGTCTCTCGGTTACAAGTGAGCTGATTATGCAGGCAATGCAAAGCCAGGTCATGTGCGGAAAGCTTGCAATGCTTCTGATTCATTGTAAGGTCGTGTTAGGTGCATAATGTCATCTTAGGAAATGGGAGAGGGTAAGTACATTGACCGAGATGAAAAAGATCGCTTTCGTCTTCAAGTCGTACAGACCCATTCCATGTTTATAAACAGCCATAGGTGCCGTACACATACTGAGGCGCTTACAGTGACGTTGCGGCATGTAGGCTTCCCACAGACCAATGTTGCCCGCCATCATGTTGTCCAAACGTGACGACTATGATCCCGTGACCACTGGCCCAGAAGCTGCTAAGCTGCCGTCAAGCTCAATGCGTCATGGAGCCCCCACGGTGAACGCGGCAGGCTCCTCAACGAGCTGGGCTTGGAGCTCACATCGGAGCTCAAATCTGCTTTATTGCAGCGGATCTACTACATTTCAGCTGCAAAGCTAGCTCCGAGCTAGCTTGACGCTCTGACCTTTCTCTTACCTTGGCAGCCGCCCAGTCCTTAAGCCACCATGATATCGTCGTTCAACACATTTTGACAATGCAGATACGTAATGCATGTATTTAACAAGAAGAAGCAAGCTACGAAGAGATTATGCTCTTGAAATGCCTATTGTTTGCTATATCTAGTATAGTACATAAAGGGGTATTAACTCGCCTCTGCTTGTGGGCTACAGTGAAAAAATTTAGTCTCACAGTTGCTGGGACAGTAAACATGGCTGGTAAGCAGAGAGGGGGTAATAAATTGAACAAAAATTTTATCTAATGCTGCAATTTTCCGAAAGAGCGGCTTTCCCATATCTCGTATATAGGCGATTCCGGACACGGATTTGACGTCGCGTTTCAAGAAACATATTTATAGTGATATCTAGAATGACTGAAAGCTGGATGCTAATTTTAAAATATAGTTTTTGTTCGGAGGTGGAATTCCCAACTTAGTGACTACAACTCATCGGGACGACTGCAATTCCGTGTAGTCGTCTTCTTTTGTGTCGAGTCTTGCTTCACTCAAATCTAGTATGCCATTTCAGCGAAACCAGACCCGTCTCATGTACTCTGTAGCTTACCAGAAGAAAGAGGTATTATTCGCAAAGGCGAAAAAAATAATCTGAGCGCCGTTTAAAATCATTTCTAGTGAAGCCACGAGTTACTAGCCAAAGGTCCGCTTGTCTGAGAATGCATGTATACACAACAGGAGTGCACTCACTGAACACCCTCCAGAATGCCCAGAGGGTGAAGCGTATCTCTCCAATGGCGCGCAGCTTCTCAGATTCGATATCAATGTCGGCCATGATGCCCCAGCCGACGTTCAGGAAGGAGTACAGGGGCCCCGATGGCGTCTCCACCTTCATCAAGTCCAGCGGGGCTACACGGCCCTTGGCGATGCCCAGCGTCGACGCCAGGATGGGATCGCTTATGTACGGCTCTCTGCCACGGCAATGTAGAAGACAAAAAGCAGACGTCAGAGGGAAGCTACTCTTGGCACGATAGGAGTAGTGCTACTCTGTTTCAAAGTATTAAGCGTGTATACATCGGACTTATGAAACCCTTCGAACAGGGGTTTCGCTGCAGAGCCAACATTTCGACAAGTGGCCTTGTCTTACATCAAGCAATCTGGTAGTTGCTTCAAGAGAATTGCTTGGCAGTTGCTTGATGGGAACTTCAAAGCAGCAACTACTTTGAAGATGACGAGGCCGCCTGTTGATATGTTGGTTGCAGCTACACCTTCCATTGAAAGGATATTTCATCTCTTAAATTCTCCATTTTCCCCAGAACTTCTGCCTTGAACACTAAAGCAGTACAACGAACACAAAGAAACACTTTAGAACACCTCTATGCTAATGAAATATTGGCAGCAGTAATATATGAAGTTCACAATTACGTCTAGTCATGGGACCTCATCTAATATATACGCTGAAGTGTAGATTGTTTCGTAGAATAGTAAGAGTTGATTGACATAACAGTGCACAGTTGGTGTGGCCCACATGAGTATGCACCAGACATAGTGGGGAGCAGTACTAAGCTCAGATCTAGCTCGGATCTAGATATCCGAGCTGCAGCAGAGAAGCTGCTTGAGATATACAGAGAAGTGCCGTCAAAAGTTGATGTAGATTCCACGGGTACACATGTCGACCAATGAGAACATTTAGAAGGGTGTGAAGGGTCCGCCTTTGCTTTTTCCGATGTGCGGGTTACTTAAATTAGGACCTGCATGCGAAGTCAGCTTGGTCGCAGTGTTTTCCCAGGAGCATTCACAAATGCAGCACGTCATCATTTTACCGCATTGTAAATTCCCTCACGGTGGCATTTTGAAGAAATCTAGGATGCCACGACAGCTCCTAGGGCCAATCACACCCGACGGTGACAAATTCAGCAACTCGGAGGAATCAGGACATACAGTATAGTAGGGCTACTCTAATGTATCCGCAACACATTTTCTTACATGGTAGCACGATTCGATGCTGAAGTCAGCGCTACAAGAAGGTTTTCCCTACATGTTTGCCAGGTGTGAATGCGCTAAGCATTGTAAGCAGCACTACCGCAGTGCCTCAGCTGGACCTCTCCTTGCCATTCAGAGTGATTGGTAGCACTACTACAGCTCTTCGGATAAAAACCAAATAAATCATTATTCCAGGACAAGAAGCAAGGCTGAACAAATGAAAAATTTGTAAGCACGGGTTGCTGCTGGTGCCAGCAGTTCAAGAAGCGATCCGGTCTTCAAGGCCACAACTACCTTGAACTGGTCTTCAGCTAGACATTCTAAAGCCATCCCTATGATTAGTGTGTCATCCATTTTTCTGTGCTATAGAAACATAAATGTGTAGAATCTGAGGCATCTTTACTGGGCAGCGTGGCTGATGGTCCGTGCCAGTCCGTTGCCGGAACCACCGGGAATCATGCCGATTGGTATCTTGATGGCCAGCTCCCAGTCAGGTCGCTCCATGAGGCCATTGTACACCTGCATTACGTAGTTATGAACAATTAAACGTATGAGAGGGGAACACATCTGCTGAACCTGCGAGCCAAACATCAAAGCACAGCATGCAGCCTGCTATTTAGAACTGATTTTCAAAGGTCGCTCAAATAGCTCTACTCTCAAAAAACTATACCACAAACCCAAATAACAGCGCCACAATCCTAAAGTACCGAGCTATTGGTTTATTTGAGTGTAGCAAGCTGCCTAAGTACAGGGGTCGCCACCAGGTGGCACAACATGCCCGTGAATTGTCTTGTGATACCACTGCAAGTGAACCGCATGCTTGAAGAAAATAACTGGCCGCGTAACGGATTTGCGTGCTTTGCTGCAAGGGACATAGACGACGTCGAAAGACGATAGCCTTCTGTCTGGAGGCACTGCGTAAGATATGCGCCATCTGGCAGTAATGCAAAGAAATGAAAACTTTTTAGAACACAGATCTCATGGTAGGTGGCAGTACCATGTCGTTTTAGCGAAGCGTAGAAGACACCCGCTTTTTCGTTGATAGCCTCTGCGCAGCATAGTAAACACTGCTATCTTTAGGATTATGTATATATGGATTTTCTAAATAAAGAAACCTGCTACCTAATACTTACGTATTAAAGTTTTGCCTCAAATATGCATAATATTTGCTTTTTGATTGACCATGTACACAGACAGACACCAACAGACAGACAGATAGTGCAAAAATTTTGTGTTGAAGTATTCAAAGAAAGACTATCGACTTTAAAAGAACAATGACAACGATCCAAAGGAGAAGACAGCACGAATGCATGTGTGTACCTCGTAGAGCAGCCCGTCACCGGAGATGATGAGGATTCCACTCCACTGATTCAGTTGGAGGTTCTTGATGAAGTCCCGTGCATGGTTCCGCCGCTCTGCGAACGACCGTTATCAAACCATCAAACTGCATCAATCAGACCGATCCCCATGCCGCGTGTAGTTTTGAGCAAAAGCTTCCGCCACGTGCTAACTCCTCCAACCCCCTAGCGATATGCGTAGTGCTCTACTATCTATCTAATAAGTGTTGTGGTTTGATGTCCCAAAACAACCTTATGATTATGAGAGATGCGGTAGTGGTGGACTCTAGAAATTTCGACCACCTAGGGTTCTTTAACATGCGCCCCAAATCTAAGCACACGGACTTTTACGCATACACCGAAATGTGGCCTCTGCGGCCGGCATTTGATCCCAGGACCTTCTGGTGAGAGGTCGGGCACCGTAGCCATTTAGAAGACTGTAGGATTGCGCATGTTCCTCGTGGTCCCCGCCACTCATTATCATAACCATTAGACCACAGCAGCGCATAAGGTCTTAGGCCGATATTAACAGACCAACCTCATTGTCATAGCGCGTTTTACTTGTCGGTTTCGTACTTTTAGTTCACTTCGTAAACAGAGTAGGCCAATGTTCAAAAACTGATCTTCTAGTTATCTTTGACCTTTAAATCTTGTAGTTATTTTCTTGTTACCATTTTTGTGTGCTCACAATGCACGTTGTGTACAGATACTTGAGAAATACATGAAATAAGGATAACATGGTTGGTGAATACGGGGATTAATTAGGGTGCACGCGACGCTGCGATAGCTCTAGGGGGCAGATCTACCAATTCATGTGCCCAACTATCAATCCATCCATCCGTCTACATCTATCCATCCAGCCTGTCGAGTATGGCTTCCCATTCATTCCTCTCCTGCGTGAAACCCTCCACGGTGGTCTAGTGGCCAAGGCACTCGGCTGCTGACCCGCAGGTCGCGGGATCGCATCCCGGCCACGGCGGCCGCATTTTCGATGGAGGCGAAAATGCCCGAGGCCCGTGTGCTTAGATTTAAGCGCACGTTAAAGAACCCCAAGTGGCCAAATTTTATGGAGCCCTCCACGGTGTCTCTCATAATCATGTGGTAGTTTTGGGACGTTAAACGCCATAAATTATTATTATTATTTATTATTATTATTATTATTATTATTATTATTACTATTATTATTATACCCACACATCTAGATCCCTACCTCTATCTACAACCGCCAGTAGGGTATGGTCAGTATGTCTGGCAGCTGTAGCCACAGCTACGTATCCACCTTATGTATCCAACTGCCCATATCTCCAAGTAACTTTCTATCGCACTGCATCTACTAAAATGTATTTTTAACAATACATACACCTAGACCCATCTAAAAATTATATATAGCTTTACAGCATGCAAAAATCTTCATACCACGGCTCCGCCTTTCTTGCAGCAACAAATAAGGGCGCTACAGTACGCAAGCCAACTTCTCTGCAAAGTCGAGGAATACGCTTGCATGGGCTTCTCCTCACACATCAACTTAATGCGGAGAAGCCCGCCTCGACGATAAGATTTCAGACGACATTAATGTGCATTACGTCTGAAAAAAAAAAAAAAGCGGTTAATCATTACGACAGACGCCACACCGGAGCGCTCTATAAATTTTAAGACCCTGGAGTACTTCACCGTGCGCCCAAATCTACGCAAACCAGCCTGGAAAATTTAACTTCCACCGAAACGCTGTCGCCACAGTCGGGATCCGATTCCCGAGGCTCGCGATCGTGTCGGGAGAGTCGTAATGCAGCGGTGCCACGCGTAACCGGGGGCCTTACCGGTGACGAGGAGGAGGTGGGAGATGTCGGCCTCGGCCAGGATCGGTCGCACTCGGTGCAGAAAGATCTCGAGGCTCCGGCCGGGCCCGCTCTTGGGGTTCACGATGACCAGGTAGTGCCGCTGCGCCGGAAGCTCGGCCGGAATGAACGTCTGGCCATCTGAGAGCAGGAGGAAGAAGAATAAGATGAACAAGAAGAAGAAGAAGAACAACAACAACAACAGCAACAACAAGAAGAAGAAGAAGAAGAAGGAGAAGAAGAAGAAGAAGAAGAAGGAGAAGAAGAAGAAGAAGAAGAAGAAGGAGAAGAAGGAGAAGAAGAAGAAGAAGAAGAAGAAGAAGAAGAAGAAGAGGAAGAAGAAGAAGAAGTAAACATTATATAGATCGACCTGTAGCTGCCTCAAACGGGGGTCTCAAATACGAGGCTCACGCGGCTTCACACGGCATAAATGTTTCGCGACTTTGCCAAGTAGTACTCGCGTTATGTTCTCGCCCATAGCGATTAACAGCGCTTCGTCCGGGCGAGCTACGAAAACGGAACTGGTCTTAAGGATTCTTTTTTCGTGAGGCACCTTATGTGGCCACTACGAGTTAAAGACATCGCCCGTGAGACGAACACTCTACATTTCAGAATCGGCGTCCATATTCTAGTCATAGTGGAGGTCAGTAGAGATGTTTTTGGGAACATGTTGTATAGGCACCCGGAAATGCAGTTTAAGAGATCTGATGGTAGCGCCAGACCACACAGCCTAGCGAGTAGACGCAGCGAAATCGAACTTGCACGTGCACAGCATTTTCTTTTTTTAGTTGTGAGCAAGGGGGTCACGGCTGATTATGTAAGTGCCCAGGAAGCGTTCTTTGAAAACGAGCCACAAAGAGCGCTGACACTTCAGCGTGTCACTGTGTTCAGCGAGAGTTCCATTTTCTTATTGTCCCTGGCGGTCGGTACCAACAATGCTGAGACGGCCCAAAAGAGCTTCGTCGCGCCCTCTGGTTCACTGTCGGGTGCCTATATGGAAAAGGCGCACCCCTAAAAAAAGCAGTGATGGGTGGCATTTTGTTCGAACTACTTATGTTTGCCCTTTGAAGAAGGAAGAGCGGGGGGGGGGGGGCATTCGAAAATGACACTTATGCTTGAAGTATTAACGAAATATTCATAGAGTCTTCGTTTTTCGGCGCTCGCTACTCGTCACTCACCGATGTCAAAGACTATAATAAGATATTCGAGCCTTCCCCTGGAATAAACAAGACATATCACGAATGGAAATGCGCGTGACGTGTTTTTTTATTACTATTTGTTTTTTTTTGCACGCCAAGGCGCGCGCGTACCAGGCACCCCAAGAAATCTCCGCAAAACGAACCGGTAACCGGATACGAGCGCCGCAAACGACACCGCGCGGACAGCTATGCGGTGAAACCGAATAAGTGCAGCTATACCTCCGCCAGCTCAGCACACCCTTGTCGTTAGGTGCGTAATATCACATGAGCTGCGCGGCTCAAGACGCAGGGCCCTTCTCGAGCGAACGGGGCAAAGTGCAAACAGGCCAAATTACGCGCGGTGAAGCACGAACCCCAGCTGGGTCTGTGCTGTCAAACGCAAGCTCAGCGCTAATGACAAAAGCTAACTAATTGACACACTTACGCAATCGCCTAAGACGACTCCACGGCGAAAATCCCGTTTTCCGTCTCAGTCGACGTATTGATCCTCCACCCACACCTCCCCTGAAAGTTTTCTCAACGTTAAGAACGGGAAGCTCAACTGTTAGAGCGACCACCCCGGAAAAGGCGTTGGTCCCGGGTTCGAACCCCCGAGCAGGACGAATTTTTCGGCAACTAAGAAGCTTGTGTTTTTGAGAAATCCGTACGGATTCCTTTGTGGCTTCATGCTCCAAACAGGTAGTTGTCTCCTTTCCCTTTCTCAACCCTTCCGCCGCCTTGCGTGTTTTTGCAGAACTCATTTGCTGAAGTTAAGTTGGTTTGGTATTGCCTTCAGTATCGGAGGCATCGCAATTGATTGATTGACGTATGAGGCTTAACGTCCCAAAAGCACTGTATGATTACGACAGACGCCGTAGTGGAGGGCTCCGGAAATTTCGACCACCTAGGGTTCTTTAACGTGCGCCCAAACCTGAGAACACGGGCCTACAGCATGGAGGAATTGCAAGCTATCAGCACCACAAAGTTTTGCAAAATTAACAAGGAGACTATGGCGCTGCGATCGTTCGGCCACCATAGAAATGATGGGTAGTACACAAGTTTGCCTATATTCTCCATGCCTGTGGGCTTCGAACGTAATTGTGGCTTAGTTCACTGCTGCGTTTTGGTTTTGTTTCGAATGGAAAAAAAAAAATGAACCGTTGCGAACTTTACGAACCGATTTGAATTGGTGAGCCCGAAAGGTTAAGGTACCGGCGAAGTGCAACAACCGAAACGATTGCTCATTGTCGTCTCGTGACAAAGCAGCTCCTAGCCACGCGTAACCGAAAGAACGAACACTACACAAATCCCTGTACTATACTCATATCATTCCCACGCTGGCTGAAGCACTGTGCGTCGCAGCTTCCATACACACGAGCACCAGAGTTCCCTCTATAACGTACTCATAGGAAACTATGATCAGCACCTCGCCAGGTTCAGGAAACTCCGTGATCAGACCACGTTTGATGAAGCGCCGATGTCATGTGATAACACCCTCGTGTGACGTCACCAAGGGAGTTTTTTTTTTTAACACGAAAGCGTTTTATGTCGGGGTCCACCACGGCTCCGCTGACGTATTTCCGTCACGAATATGACGCTGTAAAATATATACTAATGTGTTGCAAAGAAAAATCAAGAAGGAAAGATTCCGTTGTACGGTGACGAACCAGCAACCTCTTGATTCTCAGCGCGCGGCGCTTACCACTAAATCACAGAACGTACGTTGTCGAGGATGCTATAATGACAACATATTTGTATACACCATACGCCATTTGGGTGGCCCTCAGAGCTTCAAAACTACAGCGCGTTTTTCGTTATCAGTATCGAGATGGTGCGACGGGCTCGAGTCGGGCGCGCTCTACAGGTCGTCGCTCGCCTCCACACAACGTGGTCTCCCCTGCGCGCGCACTTATCAGACTCGTAATTCGGGAGAGGACGAAAGTCACTTCGCTCGCTGCCGCGGCCGCTTTTACCAGACTCGCAATTCGGGAGAGGACGAAGGTCACTTCGCTCGCTGCCGCGGCCGCTTTTACGAAAGGAGCGCACTGCTGATACACGACGAAGTAGGAATCGTGACAGTTGTTCACGTTTGTCCTGTGCATACATAGGCGCTCGTTTCGTGCGTATTTCTTTCTGTTTGAACAGCGCGCTTCAAGTGTCGAGCTGTGACTGACAGTAGTTTGTTCGCGCTCGTTTTGTATATGCTAATTTCGTGCGTGCTTTCTGCTTGACGTGAGCGCTGCAAGTTTTGACCTGCTTGCCGTTCTTCACACGACTTTGCCATTTATTGCTGTTACTGAAATAATGCACAGTAAACGCTCAACTACCTCTGCGAAGACGCTTTCCACTTTCTTGTTATACCGATTCCTTGATGGGGGATCAGTCAAGTTTTTTTATCATCAGCCATGCTGTAGACGCACACGATAAATTCTCATGTTTCAGTAAGCAACTAAGGATATCGCCTTTAAAACATACAATTTTATGTGCGCGAGCCATTAAGTTTACACGCGGACATGCGTGGCATGTGTGTGAGAGATAGAGAGAGAGAGAGGGAGGAGGTGGGGGTGTGTGGTTGAATGAGTGGGTTAATGTTTGAAACACGCGGTGATTGACTGCGCAAACAAGCGAGCCCAACTAACACAACGAACACACAAAAAAGACACAGACCTGATAATCGCGTACCCGCGTCACTGTAAGGAAACATGCTCTCAAGTTTTTTACATGCATGCCGACTGTTGCGTGCTCAATTCCCTTTTCATGCAGTCGACAGTACATAGGTCATCAGACTGGGCGATTTGTGAATATTAATATGTCGCTGAGAGAACACCACAGTTCTTAGAAAGGCTTTGCACATTCACATTTGTCTATGCATCGTCGTAATTGTGAATGCCAGCGACCTAAAAAACAAACAAACGTGCTCTTTAAGCACCCAGACAAGCTATGAGGAGAGATTACGAAGGCGGTTTTTTTTTATATATAAGGAGGGGTCTCAATGTGACAGCCAGCCATCCATTGCCTTACTGGATAACGAAGTTTACACGTTAGAAAATGGCTAAGGATCATTTGTGATCTCATGCTCGGTATCTTGGTGACGTTTGAATCACGCGTTTTTGTGCTTTTATTATTCTTGGCAGGATTTCGTCCACGTGACAAAGCTTTGATGCGCAGTGTTCTGCCCATATGTTATATATGTTCATTTTTCATAACTTCAGTTGAGTCAGCGCTGTACCGTGTCCTCCTGTAGTCTATATGCCTAGGTGTTTCGCGCTGCAAGCTATAATGAATATACGTAATGTCTCCCAATGCATACGGACGTCAGAGCACCACAAAAGCCAATCCATCATTCAATCAATCACAATTAATCAGTCAATGCCCGCACACATTCGATGACGGCAAATAGAATAGGGTACTATATATGCACATTCGATTCGTGCTTAGAATTTCTGCGAACATTCACACAGATCCATAAATTGACTTTCCCAGAAGATGCCACGGTACACCTAGATTCTAATAACAAAAAATGTGCGCATGCTTTGAGCCCCAAATATAATGTCTCCAATATAGATTGTTCTATTACCTTTACTACACTACAAAACAAGTGCGGTTAATATCTTGTCTATTATAATCTTATAGACTGCAAACGGGAGATAAAAAGTGAAGGATAGAAAAGGAAGAATTTGAAGATAGCAAGTAAACTAAATGGTGAGTTGAAGTAAATGCAGCTGAAGGGTTATCACAGCACCTGAGATCTCAAAATGCCTCAACTTGACTTTTCAATTTTTTCTTCTTTCGTTTGCTCTTTGCTATGTGGTTTTCCTTACATTAGTCACATTATAATACAAATTCATTACACATAGTTACAATTGCTCAAAGAAAAAAAATGCACTACGCTTTCTTGGCCAATCCCCCTGTGTGGGAGTGAGCCACGAGTCCAGGGAAACAAACAGACAATTTACGTTTCTG